TAGAACTCATTCATAACAGGTGATTATATCCCTTGAATCCATAATTCAATTCAAGGCGAGTTAGAAGCAAGTTAAAGAGAAGTTAGCGTCAAGTCAAGCAAGTTTCCAAAGTTGTTCGAGAGTCTTTATTGAACGTTTTTACTTCATTCTAAGGCTCAAGTTGCAAGTTAAGTAAAGAGTTTAAAGTTGAGTTCATTTCTCAAAGTTATTAGGGAACTATGTATTCCCAAAGAACTCTTGCAAATTTTGGAAGAGATGTGGTTGTTGATCTGTTGAATTTTCTCTGATTCAATCCTACATAAATAAATAAGAAGATTGATTGTAGACAATGTGAGGAAGTCAAGTATTAGTAAGTAATTTATATTTTTAATGTTCAGGAGCGTATTGAATAGGAAACATTATAGTTTAGGGTAATAGAAACATATTGTTAATTTTTTTCATTAAATTGCACTTGTGTGTTTTCAACTCACCCGTCCCCGGATATCATATCATTTTAGATTCGCGGCAGCAGTTAGGGCAGTTCTCCATCCTTGCACCTTCTGCATCCCCTCAACATCATCTTTATACCTCGATTCGTGTTTGGCAAATGCTTCTACAAAGCTCTCACTTTGGTATCGAACATGTGATGGATCCACATCGTAGAAGATCAGGATAACTGTTTGTCCATTTTCTTCCTCCTTGAATTCCATGATAGTTACTAATTCATTCAAGAACCACCTCGATGTAGCATAATTCTTTGAGAAAACGACGAGTGCAACTTGAGACTCTTTGATAGCTTTTAAGAGTTCTTCTGGGATGGAATCGCCTTGCTCTAGCCTTTTATCATCTTGAAAGGTGAATATTCCCCTGTTTTTCAAACCTTCGTACAAGTGACCCGTAAATGTTTTACGGGTATCTTCACCTCTAAAACTTAGAAAGACATTGTATTTCCATCGAGGACAGTATTGTAAAGTACTTGCAGAAGAAAAAGAAGAAGAGGATGCCATGGATTCGGTTAATTGTCTAACAAGAAAAAATAAAGTGTCCGGAGGAGTCCAATTGATGAACAAAATTATATAGAGGAAAAAAGAAATAAACAAGTACCAATTCAAGCATGAAAGCTTCTACTAATAGGAAAATTTATGGTTATGGACCACTATCCATCTGCACAAAGAAAAATTGGACCATATATTACTATTAATTATGAGTAAACAACACAAATCTCATTAGTTTTGGGGTCTTATAACTATGTGTATTTATTTTAATTTTCAAAATTACCTTCTGTACCACATTACTCATGGGGTCAAATAAGGTGTAATTTATTCTAGATACAGTGTAGTCAAGTGTGATTCACATGTATTTGAGATATACCGATGCTTTCACTCGCCTCTCTTCTATGTATCTGTATTTCAAAATGTATAAGGAATCAAATATATATGTATCTGCTTGTGCTTTTAGTAGTCCATATTATTACTTTTTGAATATTACACAATCCATGTAGTAAGGCATGTGTGGAGCCACGCCTAGTAAAGCACATGCATGGGCTCCCACGCCTTAATTCCCTGCATTTATATTTGATTGTGAATGGAGTTGACGAATTCCAACATAAATTGAGAAAAGGTCACCCAACATATATTGTACGTATTTCAATTTAACATTTCGACAAAAGTGCATACTCTTTAATATTTCTTATGTTCCTTTTTATTTGTCACCGTTTCTTTAAAAAGTCTAACAATATGAACTTTGATTAACATTCTAAAATGTATTTTTTCATCGTATTGTTATGTAAAAAGTTACAATTTAGATTACATTTTATATATATTTTGAATATCTAAATTTTTATTTTAAAACATCTAAATATAATATAATTTAGCTTTGAAAATTAATCAAATTCATTCTCAAAAAGCTGAGCATAACAACTAAAAAGGAACGAGTAAGGAGTGATAAATGTTGGTAGTTATTTAGTTCTTTCTCATTTATGGTAATGGACCCACTATCCATCTTCACAAAGAAAAGTTGGACCATATTACTATTATGAGCAAACAACACAAATCTCATGACTAGTTTAGGGCTAATTACATGTTTTTATTTTAAATTTGAAAGTACCTTTTTTACCATATTTACTTCGCCAGATAAGATACATTGACTCTCTTTTTCACTCTCTCTATGTATTTGTATTTTAGAATGTATATGGTGTGTGTATATACATATATAGTATCAAAAAATACATGTTGACTCTCTCGCTCGCCTCTCTCCCTATATATCTGTTAGCATTTATGATAAAATGTTTGTGTTTAGATAGTTTTCTTACTATTGTTGATGGATTGGTATCTTCCATCACAACGAATGGATAAAGTCAAGTTGTGTTGTCGGTGACAAAGAAATTACCCTTCTTTTTTCTTTGCACCTTTCATCCACTTGTATAGTGGTCCATTGTGTGCATATTATTACACTGGAGTTTTTAAAGTCTAGTCTTCATACTTTGTCGGTTACAAAGAAATTGCTTGAAAATAATCTTACAATTTCAAATAAACAAGGTCCACAATTTGTTAGGTAAAGTTTCATATTACATTGGAGTTTTGAAATCTAGTTTTCATACTTTGTCGATCGGTCACAAAGAAATTACTAAGATATAACCTCACATTACAATTTCAAATAAACAAGGCCCACAATTTGTTAGGTAAAAGGTCTAATTATGTGTATTTATTTTAATTTTTTAAATTACCTTTTGTATCACATTTACTTCGCCAGACAAATGCGGGTCAAATAAGGTGTAAATTAGTCTAGATACATTGTAGTCAAGTGTGATTTGCATGTATTTGAGATATACTGATGCTTTCGCTCGTCTCTCTCCTATCTCACTCGCTCACCTCTCTCCCCATGTATCTGTATTTCAAAATGTATAAGGAATCAACGATATATGTATCTAGTAATAAAAGATACATGTTGGCTCTCTCATTGTCTCTCTTCTCTCTCCTTTGTCTTTCTCCATATATATCTGTATTTCAGAATGTATTAATTGATATCAAAAGATAAATGTATCTAGTATCATTGACAAAGTCAAGTTGTGTTGTCGATGACAAAGAAATTACCCTTCTTTTTGCTTGTCCATATTATTATTTTTGAATATTACTCATCCATATAGTAAGGCATGTGTGGAGCCACGCCTAGTAAAGCACATGCATGGGCTCCCACGCCTTCCATGCATTTGTATTTGATTGTGAATTGAGTTGACGATGTTGACACCCAATTTTGGACCTCCACAATATATATTAATTATCGAGCTTCTTCAATTTCAAACGATTTTAAAATAATTAATTTTATAAAAGTAATAATAATATAGTTTGCAAGTTCTGTCTTATTTTATAATTTTTAGGTAATGTATGTGTTTTACATAATCATGTATATAATTATTATATTTTATGAATATTCAAAATTCGTCTCAAAAAGAGTTTGTTTTATATTCAATTAAACTAAATTGGTTTAAAGTATAAGTTATTTATTTTATTAGTTTAATTATGCTTATTTTATATTATTTTGT